TTGGAATTTGAGAATAGACGATCCAGATGGTTGTCGGCCGTGTACTTGTCATCTGTTTGGTACTTACAATAACGAAGGTTGTGACAAGGTTACAGGCAAATGTACATGTAAGGGCCTTGTGACAGGGGAAAACTGTGATCAATGTTTGGTACGATTTTTTTTGTAATTTTGAAAACCTACATTTTGTTGCTTTCTCTTCTGCTCTATAGAAGTATATATTTACAGCCTGAGCATTATGGTCTCAGTGAAGAATTTAGTGGATGTAAACCGTGTGACTGTGTCATTGGAGGCGCATACGATAACAACTGTGACGTAATAAGTGGACAATGTAAGTGTCGACCGAATTTCTCAGGTCGACGTTGCGATACCGCTGACAGTTCGTTCTACTGCCCGAGCATTGATCATTACACTTATGAGGCTGAAAATGCTAACATTACTCGTGTATGATATGGCGAAAATTTCAAAAAATTTCAACTTATTTTCACCTTATGTAGCTCACTTGTAATTTTTTTAGTCAAGTGAGAAAACAAATTATCTGTAATCTTGGAACTTTTCAGGGTGATGTCGTGCAAAAAGAGCTGCCACTTCATGCACGTGACAGGAAATGGACAGGAGAAGGTGTCGTACGCGTCTACGAGGGATCAACCTTGTCATTTCAAGTCAACAACCTGGCACAAAGCATGAATTATGGCATTATTATTCGTTACGAGTTACCACCGGTATAATACTTAAACTATTGTCAGGTTTTTTCACTACTGTTCCGGTAACACTTTCGTCTATTTTCTTTCAAACCTGTGCGCTTCATTTGTGTTTTAAAATTCACTGCATAGAAATGGAACTAAAATATCCACTAGATTAAGCTTAATTCTCTTCAGTTTGATTTCTTATCTTACTGAAATATAAAAACGTATAATTTGCCTATGGATTCGTTTCAGTCGTACTACGGATGGGAAAACGTTGAAATAGCAGTGGTTCGACCGTCCAACCTAGATCCTAATGGCCCATGCAGCGGCGCTGCTCCATCTGACGATTTCTTGATCGTTCGCCTACAGCCTGATCGCCAATACGTTGAGGTTACCATGCTTGTTTTTATTTTACTTCAATCAACCAAACTCGTTGAGAATTCGTACTCCTTATTTTTGCGAGAGAGTGCCAAAGTGTTTTTGTGAATATAGCAGAAATAACAGATAGTAAGAAGAAGATCTGACTTTCAGGTTTCACCCTATGTCTGCCTTGAAAAAGGAAAATCATACGAAATACGTATAGCATTTGGTAATAAACGTTCCGATTATTCTGATAGGTCTGCTTACGTCTTTATTGATTCTATAGTTCTTGCGCCACCAGCAACTTCGCTGCAAGTATTCCAAGGGTCATATGTAGCCGAACGTCATCGGTAAAAACTCTTAACTAATAACCATATTTGTTTAAATAGCTCTCTATTCTTACTTTATAATAGCCGGTATTTTAAAGTACACTTAGTAGGTTTTTGCGCTAGTTCGTTTTTTGCAGAGATGAATTTACTCGTTACCACTGCCGAAATCAGGCTTTGGCGTTAACACCAATAACGGATTTGCCAGAAGCTTGTTTACGTTATATCTGTCCTGTGGCTGGATCGGTATTTAATCAGGCTTTAAAATGTAACTGCGATCCCACTGGTTCTAAGTCTAATATTTGTGCTCCAAAGGGTGGACAGTGTGAATGTAAAACAAATGTGGTGGGGAGGAAGTTAGTTTGCCTTCTTTATCTAATTTTTTCTTTAATGCTATTCAAAAACTGTGCAAAAGTTTCGAGAGCATCATTAAAATTAAATTTTAAATCAGTTATTAATTATTATTGGCTAAACACCTGGTTAATTATGTTAGTGATTTACATCTAACATCTTATAACTTAAATAGTTAAAGTTTATTTGGGGTGTAATTCTTCGAAGTAGTGATTCATTTCAATTATATTTGAGATGTGATCGCTGTGCTGTTGGAACATTCGGTTTTGGCCCATCAGGTTGTACTGCTTGTGCGTGCGATAGCGTAGGATCATTGAATAACGTCTGTGATCGACAAAGTGGTCAGTGTTTATGCAGAGAACGCGGTATTACTGGAAGGTAATATTTTGTATCATTTGTAGCTTCTGTTACATATCAGTCTGGAACACAAACAGACCCAAAATAACTGAATGTCGTCTGTCATCAGATAAATATCAGAAATAATTCACCTGCACAATTCACACTTTCCGTGGAAGAAAACCGTTGAAGTAGAACTTATCATAGTTGCAAAAGTTTACGTGATTATAGACAGTGCAATCAATGCCAACCTGGTTTCTGGGACTTCCCCACGTGTCGTGTTTGCCAGTGCAACGGGCATGCCTCAATATGCGACCAAGTGACTGGTGTTTGTATTGATTGTCGAGATTTGACTGATGGCAGAAATTGCGAAAGATGCAAGGTAACTTGACATTTATGAAGTAGACTATAATATTGCTGTGTTTTCAGTGCCTTACGTTTTGTTAACTATAACGCAAAAAAAAGATCCTGTGAAAAATTTTTTCAATTTTAGAACGGTTATTATGGAGACCCACGTTTGGGTGCAAATATACCCTGCAAACCTTGTCCATGTCCTAAAGGTCCGGAAAGTGGTTGTCAGCACGCAGATTCCTGCTACTTGAAGTCGTTTGATACTAAAGAAGTTGTCTGTAACTGTAGGTATGAAATGGAGCAAACATATTATAATCGTTATTTTTCGCAATTTTCTTATTTCATCAGTCACCTAATGCATTATTTTTTCTATTTATTCTCTATGTCTGAAAAATTAATGAAATTAAAAAACTTAGGGAAGGATATGTTGGTGAACGATGCAACGCTTGCGATGTCAATTACTGGGGAACACCAAATGAGGTCGGAGGTACGTGCGAACGTTGCGAGTGTAACGGTAATATTGACTACAGTGTAGAAGGAAGTTGTGATCCTGTCACTGGCGACTGTCTCAAATGTTTGCACAACACTGAAGGTACTCAGTGCGAGAATTGTATTGAGGGCTACTTTGGTGATGCAAAGATTCGTAGTTGTGAAAGGTAAAATTACGCTACTTTCTTGTGGGAGTTTTTGCTGGCATAATTTGATCAGCTTAGATTAAGCTGTTTTTAGAAGTTTATTTGCTTTTATTGCTTAGCAAAACAGCACCTTTTTGCAGATGCGTATGCAACAGGCTTGGCACGGATGCTAGTGGAGGTGCTTGTGACCGTGTTACTGGTCAATGTGTTTGCTTGCCAAATGTGACTGGTCAGCAATGTGATGCGTGCGCTCCGTTGCATTACAATTTGGCGAGTGGTATGTGTTTGCCAAAAATTATTCAAAATTAATCGTATTTATTCGTTAATATGGTAGTCCATCAGTTCAAAATCTTTTAGGCAAAGGTTGTGAGGCTTGTGATTGTGATCCTACGGGAGTTTCTATGAGAGAAGATGGAAGTCTAGCACTACAGTGCAATCAGTTTGATGGAAGATGCCCTTGTAAGCGCGGCCGCGGTGGTAGAACTTGGTATGTATTTTAAACTCTTAGTTTTGTTTATTTTTTCTCTGTACTGTCTGGACATGGAACTTAGAAATTAAACCGATAATAGTATCAATTTTTGCTTCTTCAGTTCTTCCTGCCTTTTCTTCCATTGGGAAAAGATTACTAATACGTGTGATTTAGCTCGGAATGTGAAGACTTTTACTGGGGTGATCCGAAAGCAGGAGAGTGCCATAGATGTGAGTGCGATCCTTCGGGGTCTGCATCTCAACAGTGTCACAGAACAAACGGCACTTGTATCTGTTTGCCAGGTTCTGGAGGTTGGTGAATCACTTAAATATGCCTTTTGTGGAACCTTTTGGACGCAAACAGTGATATTTTTTTTTTTTGAAATCGGAGCTATTGGTTTTTTATCATTTTTAACAACAGAAAAATTTTTTTGTAGGACCATCGTGTAATGAGTGTGCTCGTGGGTATACAGGACGATGGCCGTACTGTGAGGCTTGCGGTGAATGTTTTACTAACTGGGATAGTATTATACAAGAGTTGAGGAAGCAGGTTGAAGAACTTATTGGTATGTGTTTTTACTTTTATTTGGAGTTTACAGTGAGTTATTTGTTATTTTTATTTCATATTTTTCGCCAACTTTAGATCGAGCCAACAGCATAGAAGACACTGGCGTTGGATCTGTTTACGATGATGTGTTCGAACGTACTGAAGAAATTTTAAAGAATATAAAAGCTAAATTGGAGTCAGCAAACATTACCAAACAGGATACAGAAAAATTACAGGAGGAGATTGAGGGGCTTGCAGAGAAGGTTTTTTTTTCAACTATACGTTATTAATTTGTCTTAACACAATAAAATTCTTTTTTTTTTTTTTTT